GGCTGTAAAAGCCGGAGTGGGAGTCACTACCTGCAGAGCCTCTGAGTGTACTTTTGAGAGACTTTCCCTTTGAAATCCTAAGCGGAGGTCCTGACCGACCTCCGAGTTGTGCTTTTCCAGTTTCAGGTGTGTGTGTGTGTTGAGTGACTTACGCTGCACTGTGCATCCTCCGAGCATCCTCCGAGTCGAGCATCCTCCGAGTGACCTCCGAGTTGAGCATCCTCCGAGCGGTCTCCGAGTCGAGCACTGCAGTATTTCTGGGAGTGACAGTCGCCTGAGAATTCAAACTCTCCAAAAGTCTGTTAAACGTGACACTTTGTACTCTGTGTGTTGCCTCTGTCCCTGATCGATCTTTTTACCACCATACTGCAGTTTTAGCCTTTGGTGGATTATTACACTCTCTCTCCGGTTCCTCTCTCCATCTTCGTTTCCGCGGCACTCTCGCTGCGGGTGTGTCTCTTCCCTCATCCTGCTGAGTCGGTGGAGTGGAAGTTGGCGAATCCTCCGCATCGGTGTCTACTTCGTTATCCCGCACATACTTCCCGGGATGGTCGACTGACAATGGCGGAAATCGAGCATGCTCCGCCGCGGTCAAACAATTCCTCTGTCGATAAAAGTTTATCGAGAAGGGGGAGAGGTGATTGAGAGTTCCTCCTTTCTCCTCATATGCATGCTGTCGCATTACCCTATGTAGGATACGCGCCCAGTGAACTGGAGCTCCGGCTAATGTGAGCTCTACAAAAGATACCTGCCACAACGTGATGTAGGAAGTGCGGTGTGGCTGCAACAATTGCAGCAGTGCCGCCGCTACAGTCTTGCGGAAACGATCTTTGTAGTCGCGGGTCTTGTACCCGTTCTTGGAAGACCTCTCCCGCTTGAACAATTCCACGAATTGCGCTTCGTCCTGCTTCGTCACCTTGACGCTCTCACTCTCAAATAGGAGTTACCCGTCGTCTCCTGCACACCTCCCCAATGCCTGTGCCCAATCGTGGACGGTCCATCTATCTACGTGCGGACGCAATCTGCGCGTAGGTAGTCGCTCCGCGTCCAACCATTCGCGCACCATGTCTACGCACACGTAATTCCATTGTGGTACCCCACTTTTGGTATTTTTGAGGAATTTAAAACATTTTTGGAAAACTGTACTGCGGCAGTAGTGTAAATATCCATCGGTGCATCAAAATAGAGTGAAACTGGATGATCTCGGAGAATCTCGAAAGATCTCGTAGAATCCAGGAGTTGGGCGCAACGTCTGGGACAGGCGCCGCCCTAAACGACGGGCTCTGAACCCAAACCTATGGGTATGGGTCGGGTTTGGACCAACCTAGGAACGGTTTGGTTCGGGTTCGGGTTGGACTTTTAATAAGATGGTTCTAGGATGCCAACTATACTCGGAGACCGTGGCGAATGATGAGACGATAGGGTAGTCCCTCCTTCCACACTGTAACTGCCAACCATATAGTTACAAGAACTTTGTTTAGAACATGAGTGATGGTGGACTGTCAAGCCTTCGCGAGAGACATTCCAACTATTTTTGAAATTGTACGAATTTTGATTGATTATTGCTTACAAAATAACTTGGTTCAGATATATATACTTAAAATAGTTTTGAAAAATATGAAAATACATAATATAGTGTGTTTACATCAAGTAGAACTGAAAAATCAAATTTGTGTCACATACTCTCTAGATCAAATATCAAGATGGAAAAAAAATCTAAAACTAAAATCAATCAAAATCTTTGGAATTAATATTTTGCATTTGAAATTATTGGAATTTTGACACAGGTTTTGTTAAAGCTTACTAAAACTATAATCAAAACAATGTCTTCATATATATTTGAAGACAACCCATAAACTTTTGTGTTCGAATTTATGAATGTTCGATCGCATAGCGTGTAATCATGTATCATACATGTAATATATATATATATATATATATAACAAAACAAGGTTTCATGCAAAGCAAATTCCAAAACACCGCCACTCTCTTTTGGCGTAATAAAGTACTATATGACAGTAAGAAAAATTTTAGAAAAGATAAATTCATTCATTGATGTTTTTTATATCAAGTTTTTTTAAAATTAAATACATTTTTTTTATTTTTAAAATTTTGTACAACAATTAAAAATTTTGAAAACCCCTAAAACTCTCTCTTCAAAAACATGAATAGAAAATAAAAAAAAAACACAAAGTTGTTCAAGGATACAATCACATATGAATGATTTTTATGATGATTGCATCCAATTTCTTACTCACAATCTTTGAAGTGAATATTTTGGATTAGAAATTATCGGAATGTTGAGACATATCTTTTTAAAACTTATTAAACTATAATCAAAGTAATAAGATAATTTATCCCTATATATTTGAAGACAACACACTCCTCCGGCACGATCTCGAATGAAACAGTCCATGGAAATTTTAATTTACCATTTTAAACTTTATACAGACAGTGTTTCTGTACGAGCTTCTTCTACCTATACAGCAGTAGAAGTGCCTAAAGTATAATTTGGTATGGTTCTAGTCATTATTGGAACCAATCGTCCTTATCTTTGTAAAATAACATCACCAGGTTTTGCTCATTTACAAGGACTTGATTTTATGTCCAAACATCACGCGCGACCTATTCACAGGATAAGAACACATAGACATTTGTATTGGAATTCATGAATGCTTGATTGCAAAGCGAGGTTTCATGTGAGGGAAGATTCTAACACACTTGTGACTTTCACCATGAGACGCGCGTCTGCTGGCGTCCGGTAGGAATTTAGACTCATCCGAGAGATCCCCTTGCACTCAGTCAGTGGATGCCCTCACACACGGTCGCCTAGTATCCCGTCCGTCGAGAAGGGCGCCAGCGGGTGCTGACCGAACACTTTTGAGAGAAAGAGAGGTGTTGTTGTAATCAGCACAATCAATCTTTATGTATAACAAGCACACGGATTGATGATGTGTCGTTCTACCTAACACACAAAGTAACATACGTTGTTGATGTGACATTTTAGATAATTCACTATTATCTTCTCTACTTAATCTTAAATAATATTTACTTTAGTTTATACCAACTAAAGATGGCTACACATATAAATGAAATTTTATCTTTTAGAATTATTATTAAAATTGAAGAAAAGTCTAAAAAAACTTTAATGAGAGTAAAATTGGACATCAAACTATATGAAATACAATAAAAATTGTTATATACAAATTTCAAGAAAAACAAATATGTATTCCACTAATGGACTTGTCTTTAGCATACCTTTTACCATTGTGTTGATGTTTTATGTTTGATCATCAATTTGAAAATGATCTACTAGTTAATATTATTATTTTTAGTTTGAAATATTTCAAATTAAATTTCAAAAAAATCAATGGAATGAACTCTTTTATAAATAAATAAATTTTTAAAAAAATTTATATTCACAAAAATTACATCTAGATACAATTAATCATATTATAAATTTGTTAATTAAAAATCTAATAAAAAAACTGTAGAGAAATTATGGTAAGATGACATCTCTACAACTACTCAAGGTATTAAATTTTATATATTTTCACAAAATAATCTATTTTAGTTTATTTTGTTGATATATGAAATTAATTTTACGTATGTGTTGAATTTAATAAAGCCATATAGTTTATGATTTAAATTCGTAGAATATTTAATACAAAATATGAATGATACAACTCCAAATCTTTCTATAACTTAATATCAAAAGTTTGTCTAAAATTGTGAATGACATCATTTGAATAATAATTTTTGCATCATAATATATCACAATGTACATCTAAAAATGGTATTTTTTCACAAAATAAAAATGAGTTAAAAACATATTGAATTTTTTTTAGTAAATGATTGATATCTTCCAATTAATCTCGTTTTTGCAAAATGAAAAATTAATTATCAAAATATACATTTTGATATTACTTCTTTGTTATCTCAAAACAATGATTTTGCATTCGAAAAGAAAAGAAAATAATATAACATTGTAAATTAATTGTGTTAAAATATACATTCAATTAGATATTGTTATAATTTAAAACGCATTTCTTTCATTTTTTATTATAGTTAATTATTTTAAAAATATTTGACTGGGTTGTATAGACAATATTTATAAGTCTTAAATTTTTATCTATATAGTGATTTAAATTTTTGATAATAATTTTAGAATAGTATATATATGATTCAAATTAAATAAAATTTTTTAAATTTCATTAAATTTTAATTTATTAAAATAATAATTAACAAATGTACATCAGGAAATTTTTTCTAGAATCATTGAATATATTTATATTAATTTTGTTAAATAATTGAGCAAATAGTAAATATATATGAAAGGCGAATTATCATACAAAAAAATGCGTAGTTTACAGAAACCTTGTGTTGTACAAGTGGATGTCTCCAGATCGATAGGCTCAGTGACTTCACTTCTTCGTCTAGTTCTGTGCCTGGAACCAGATTGAAATCACAGAAAAACAGGATTGCCAGCAGACCCATACTCTTGGACACCCACTGGTTTCTTCCCAGATCTGCTGGTCACGTTCGACGTGTGCTGCGCTGCACGCTTACAACAAGCATTGTCAGGTTCTGCGGACCTTTCTGGCATTACTTTGTCCTTCTGTACGAAAACGTACACCTTCTCAGTCCTGTGCAATCGAAAGCGGTGGCTCCTAGTTTCGACAGATCCCCGCACAGCAGGACGCCAGGACGCGAAGTCATAGAATATTTAATCCACAAAAAAGTCCTTCGTAATGTACAAGGGAAGGAACTGTGCTTTAGCTTCATACCCTATAAGAAGTTCCCGAATAACACAAGGAAAGCGTTGGTTGTCCAGGTCAATGACCCTGGATGTGCAATTTTTAACACTCATGAGATTGACATCATCACATCGTGGCCTTAAATGTAGGACCAGAAAATGTTACCACATGGAAACCACCATAGAATGCGTTGGATACTGACGTATAAAAGCCCTTCACACGACCCATTAAGCAGGAAGTTGACAAGCTCAACCTGGGCCTCCTCATCGACCTCGGGCTCTGATTGTGAGTCCATTGCATCTTTGATTTCTGATCGAGGTGCACTTGCCATGTTACTAAGCTAAACTATGCTTTCTCTGGTCCTTGCATCGACATGATCACATTCTCTTGAGACGCGACATTCTGTTTGTTGACTGCTTCTGATCACCATCTTTATTTTGACACAATGCAGGAAGGTGGTTCTGACTCTACCAAATCTGGAGGTCAAACTGCTTTTGAGAGGGTTCGATATTCTATCGAGACGGGCCGGAATATCTGAAATCCAACTTTAAAAATGGCTTCAGATGGACCAAATATGCAGCGTACGACATTCACTTCCGTCCTCTTCTTCGTTTTCGTCGCAGTTGCTGCAGAGGCGCAACTGTCTACGAGTTTTTATGACTCCACTTGTCCCCATGCCGCCTCTATAGTGCAAGCAAAGGTTGATGCCTTTGTGGAGAGTGACCGGGGATTGGCAGCAGCTCTGATGCGTCTCCACTTCCATGACTGCTTCGTCCGAGTAAGAATGTCACCGTACCACGAAAAGTACTTTTGATCTATTTCCAGCCAAGTCTTCTAGGACCTATATGAGCTTGATATTTAAAAACATCTCACATGATGTGGACAGAAGATGTTGCCCAGAACATTCTTCTGATATAGCCATCGACACCTGAATGAATATGCTTTGCTTCAGTTTTAGCTTCTCCACCGAACCTGTGAATCCAGCTGAGTCGAAATCGTCCGACGATTGGAGTCATCTGATTGAAAGTCACTTGTGTGCGTTCAGGGCTGCGATGGATCCGTTCTTCTCAACTCAACCGATCCTAATATTCTCACAGAAAAGTCCGCGCTGCTAAACAACAATTCTCTTCGAGGATTTGAACAAATTGATGAGATCAAAATGGAGCTGGAATGTGCATGCCCAGGTGTTGTTTCATGTGCAGATATTTTAGCTCTGGTGGCCCGGGATGCTACTGTCAAGGTACGAGGAAAGGATCTTTTGTCTTCGTCACGTTACATCATTGAAAGTAACAAAATCATCTGAGGCATTATATCTCAGATTATTTGTGTGTCAAGAGTATAGCAATGCCTCAAGGTATCGATCCTGGAGATGGCAATATGTACATCTAGTAGAAAGATGGAAACATAACCACGTAGATGATTTGAAGCGATCATCTGAAGGGAAACACCATTGTCTAGATCACTTACAATCACTCCCATCCCTGTTGATGAGTATACAGGTTGGTGGCTGGAGCTGGCCAGTATTTCTGGGCCGCATTGATGGTGCAGGCTCATTTGCAGATGAAGTTAATGGCAGCTTGCCTGAACGGAGGGATAACTTTACAAAACTTGTAGAAACTTTCGCCAAAGTTGGACTTGACGCTAAGGACATGATCATCCTTTCAGGTCTATTGCTCACATGTTTTTCAGATTATTGTTTCCGTAAAGCATTGCGTGTGTATGTACTAGTTGGGAACATCCTGTATCTTCTTGAAATCGATTGACTCATGCATCATGAAACATCGCCTCCTGAATGTATACGTAATTGCTGATTTAGCAAATCTTCAATGCTCATGCAGGTGGACATTCCATCGGGCAAGTTCACTGCGGCGCCTTCTTCGAGCGTCTGTACAACTTCCAAGGTCTTAATATCACCGACCCATCAATGGACCCTGAGTTTGCTGCCATGCTTAAGGCTCAGTGCCCTCCGACCAGACCTTTCGACTTCATGGCTCTGGATGCCACCAACGGCACCTTCGACTCTACCTACTATTTGGACCTTCTGACCAACAAAGGTCTTCTTGAGTCGGATGTGGCACTTTTGAGCGATCCTTTGGGAGTAGAGTATGCGATCAAAGCTGTGCAGGATCCCAACACCTTTCTGTTTGAGTTCGGCATGGCAATGATCAAAATGGGCAACATTCCAGCGAGCGATCCTTACGGCTGGAGAAAGCATTGCGCCTTCACGGAACCAAAGTTTTAGACCCGGGTGAATTCTTGCGGATTTGACGACAATCTGCAATAAGCACGTTAGGACGTGCTCTCTGCTTCTTCAGGCAGATCTTAGGAATAAGTTTCTGTTGCGTTTATAATTTCCATGAAGTCTCATCATTTACGAGATCGTGGTAGAATTGGATCTGTTCAGATTTGTAGAGCTCTAGGCTATTTTGAGGAATAGACTGGTTTCTTCTGTACAAAATTTATTGAAACAGGCGAAAATTGAACCGATGTTTGGAAATCAATAAATAGTATCCAATTCGGACAAGAATGAAGGGAAATTCACTCATGAGGGAAATTACTCAATGCTGTCAACGAAGCATGAATCTGCTGAATGCCATTTGGAGATATATTTGATTTTGATCTTGCTCTTGAAAAAAAAACCTCTTACATAGTTTTTTCACTAGATATCCTGCATTAACGCTGACAATTGATATACTTTCTACACATATTCGGTACTAGTCTTTCGCTTCTTCAATTCAGATTTGAAAACTATGTACTTGCATCCCAACAAGGTAAAGGGAATATACTCAGATCACTGGACACTTTCGTCTGGCCTCCGAAGTCCTCGCTTGTTCAACATATCACAAGCAGAGAAATACAGACGTGTCATAGTCTGAATAAACTTTGCGAACATATGATGTCTGCGAAACCGCTGAAGGTTTTTTTAAACTCGAAACTCAAAAGACTTGTTTCTTCGAAAATTGAGTCTGTGATTAGGCTATCTGACTGGTGACTGCAAATCACATTGTGTGTGCATCTAGATGGGCTCACTTTGTTACTACTTTGACGCTACAATCCAGCGAATAAATGTATTTGAAAGTCAAGCATCCACAGCTCACAAAGTCTCCACGTTGAACCTTTGAACACTGCCCTTACTACAGGGCCACTACAGAACAGGAATAGAACAGAATGAGAGGAGAATATGATCTCAATACATTTTCTTCGAAAATCTCTGGATTCGTAGGAGGGTGTTGAAATTGTCTCGAAATTTGGCAATGTGCAGAGAATACAAAGTTGCTATTCATTCGGATTAAGCATAACACTCAAATTCAGTAACCGTAGTCAGACAACTCGAAAAATCACTGATTCAATTTTCAGTAGACCCTTCCATAATGTAAAAAAAATTTGTGAACTGATTTTAAACCCTATGCACTCCACACCCTTGTTAAGTCTAGAGTTCATCATGTCAGAATAGATTGAATGTCAAATACAAATAAATTTTCTTTCAACAAATAAATTCTTCCATCATGTATTCGCATAAACAAACACAAACAGAAATTAACAAATTACAAGGAACAAAAATTACCACTTCAAGATACTTTCCGACGTTCTTGAAGTTTTTTTATGTCAAATATTATATGAATACTTTTAATTTATGTATCACATACAGATTTAAAATTGAAATGTTATATTATGGAAACAAATCTTGAAATATAAATCATTTATATTTTCTTATGAATCTGAAATCATATTTCAGATGTTAGTAGACATAGTTATACAGATAATTTGTTGAAATGATCTTACATTTTTACATTGACATTTGACAAATAATTATCATATATACATAATGTTAATTTAATTATGTAAATAAAACATTTCTAATTAAAAAACTATTGGGAGTGATTCAATTCCCAGTAATTAAAAAATTACTTGTTTTAAATGTGAAAATCCAAAAGAACCCAAATCCATATATAATCCACAAGTCATAACTGATGTACAGATATTATTGAAATATTCTTATTTTTGATCAACTTATAACAAATTTATTGTATAGTTTTGAGTATGATATATGAAGAAAAGATTGATTAGAATTAAGTATATTTCTTGAGTGTGACAATAAAGACATACAATCTATTTCTGATTCTGCAGGGCTGCGATGGTTCTTTACGACTCGATGGACCTACCCTACTCGATTTATACCGAAAAGACTGCCACTCTCAACTCTTAAAGGGCGCGACGTAATCGACACAGCTAAAGCAGCCGTGGAAAAAATCTGTCGACATGTTGTTGCTTGTGCCCACATTGTTGAGCATGCAGCTCGTGATGGGACCGTAAAGGTAACTATTTCCTTCCTTTGAGATACGTAGATTGTTTTGAACTAATACAGTATTATATGAATCAGTTACTGCTGTGTAGAAGTCGCTATAGCTAAAGATTATGCTTGTACAGGCAGATTGTGGGCTTGGATTAGACTCAGTCTGAATCTGTTTCCTGCAGGACACGAGGAGGAAGTCTAACATCCAAGACATGGTCATTTCTTTCTTTCAGTTGGATGGATCCAGATGGGAGGTGCAAGGTGGTCGAAAGGATGGCCGCATTTCCAAAGCCGCCATTCATGCACCCCACTTTCCACAGCCGACAGACAGCGCTTCGCAACTCATAAGCGCTTTGGTGACGCGAGGAATATCTGCATGTGAGATGGTTGTTCTTTCGGGATCACGGTGTGCGATCCCGAAAGACACCGTGGGAGTTGGTCACTGCGACAAGGTTGTTGGCCGACTCTATAAGTTCAAATCCTCTCACTTCACGGATCCTCAATCGACTCTGCTTATCGTTGGATGATAAGTACTTCAACAATCTTAAGCAGCACAAGGGGCTGTTTACATCCGACGAGACTCTTCTCGAGGATGCTCGGACCAAGAGGTGGGTTACACTCTCTAAAAAAGGAGGCACGTTTTCAGAATGAGTTCGGACAGGCCATGCACGCCATGTGATCTGGGGGATTAATATGCGTTGGCGAGATTAGCAGAAGTTGTCGCGCAGTGAGCACCATCTCACAGGATTGGGTTTCGGACATTGTTTTTGTGAAGAGTGCAGATTATTATCTTATATTTTAGAAAGAAGGTTTTGGGGGTCAATGGTAAAGCTACCACACATGTTTTTCGGGTACTCAAAACTTGATATTGAGACACGCATGGATAGTTTATGCATACGACCCTCAGCATTCAAGTTGATTGACTCAAGATCTTAAAATTAGTTTCTCTAAACTTCTATAGCTGATAAACGGTCGATATTCAGTATTCGAGCACACGTGAGAGTGCTCGTGCTCCCTGCTTATTTCGTTGGAGTTGATAGGTATAAGTTTCACCGATGCGGTTTTCTTGCCATGAGACCGTCCAATTTTTGGACAAGATTGAACCACCGTACAGAAGATCGCATCTGATCCGGGTAACCGTGGGAGGCGGCTGAGGCCGATAATGGCTGGAGGTTCTCCACTGTCTCCGATTCATTTTTCCATACACTAGAAAAATGAAAGGTTCATTAAAAAAATTCTGCTGTGTATCTATGCCTCAGCAGTTTCGTTCTGAGAATTGAAATTAATTTGCAAGATACGATCCGAAAACACGTAATTATAACCTGCTCATTGAACCGTTGATCGTGGTACGGTGAAGGAATACAGGCTCATCCAGCCATAAGGATCAACACCTGAGACGTTCCCAATTTTAGTCATCCCCATTCAGGAGTCGAACAAATAGGTGCTGGGATCTTGCATAGTCTTGATGAGTTATTCTACACCGAAAGGATCCAACTCCAGTAGGCCTTTGTTGGTCAGACGGTCCAGACCCTTTGTCCAGACCCTTTGTTGGTCGAATCGAAAGTGGCATTTAAGGCATCCAGTGACTTAAAGTCAAACGGTTTGGTCTGAGTGCACTGCGCCTTGAGCATATCAGTGAAACCCGGGTCCAGTGATGGATCGGTCATACTCTGACCTTCGAGCTCCGAGGATATACAGACGCTCCAAATATGCTCCAGAATGACCTCACCCTATGGAGTGTCCACCTAAAACGCAGCAGAGGGGACAAAAACACCACGCTTTCCCTCTCTTCAAAACTTGCTGAGTAGAAAGCTTCTGACTGAGATTCTCGTTTCAATCAGGCAATGAGCTGGATACGAGTTTTGTTCTTTGTTCTTGCCAATGGAGTTTACAGTTACTGCAAGTTGTGAAGATTGAGAAGAACCGTTTTTAGCTGTGAGGATGATCATGTCATTCGCATCAAGTCCAGCTCTGGCTGAGGTCCTCGGAGAGACTGAGCCATCGCTAGGAAAGTCAGAGCATGTTCACTCTGCTCTTCAATGCACATGCATTGATGCGAGCTCGAGATTCGGCCGGATCGCCTGAGCTTAGCTTAATTCACACGGATCTTTTAAATCCATAGTATTTGACCTCATGTTAATCTACAACATTATTCTCTGTGAGCCGAACCTTCCCACCCTTCAGCGTTTGTAGTCCAGGTGGGGGCTCGAACTCCCATAATCTAACTTCTCTGATCACAAACCATGTTCTCACAGTGTATTCAAGACAATGAGATGATAAACACTTGCTCTTCCATAGACAAATTGTCCAAAACTGAAAGTAACACCTGCTGCTTACTATTTCCACAAGAGCATCAGACAAGCTCTTTGTTACATAAAGATCTAACCCAACTCTAGGTGACTTCCTCAATACTACAGCCGCTGTGGGCTTTTCTAGATCCCAGTCCCAGTCCCAATTCCTACTCAGATTTCAGCATTGATTCTCACCTTCCACCTTCAGACCCCACCAGATTCCTCTCTCAGATTCAACTCTCCCTTTCCAGTTTCAAATTCAGATTCCGACTGTCAGATTTCGGTCTCAGATTTCACTTCACTCTCAGCTCCCATTCTCAGATCTTCCACTCTGATTTCAGTTCCCATTCACAGATTTTACACTTCAATCTCAGATCCAATTTAATTTCACTCTCTAATACGACTCTCCACCCACGAGAGTTTGCTTCCTCTTATTTCGAACTCTCCACACTCCCCTCCTAATTCTCACCACTTCCCTGCGAAAAATCACTCACACCCACACTCTATTCCTCCTACTGATCCCACCTTCGATTTCCACACCCTGGCACACCACTAGCTCTCAGCTCTCAGGCCGAACTCCCCACTTCGAAGTCCAAGGCCGAAACACACACAGCCCGTCTTAATGCCCCACTCGCAATGATGGGTAGCTGCCTGCTCCCCCTGCGCGACTTCACGCCGCCGCCGCCACCACACCTATACATTCTACATTCCTGACCACCCGATCACCGCCGGAGGGAATCTTCTTCCGCGCACCGCCGAAAGCATCCACCCGCCGAAGACGCACGACCGCACCTTTGCCTATCTATAACAGTCACTCCCGACACCCATAACTCACGGATCCTTGCTTCGTTTCAAAAGTTCTTGGGCTCGTTGGAACGAGCCCAAGAACTTTTGAGCTCTTTCCAACGAGACCCTAACTGAGTCAACCCGTTACGAATTGCAAAAGTTATGCCGATTTTACCCTTCGCCGAAGGCACACCGCCGAAGGCCTGTTATCTGTTATCGCCGAAGGCGCCCGCACGATGTTCGCCGGTTGGATGTCTTCCGGTTTGATATACTCCGGTTCGATGTTGTACTACCCTATCCGCCGCTTTTGACGCTCATAACTCAGTGACGCCTTATCCGTTTGAAGAGTTCTTGGTTTCGTTGGAACGAGCGTCACGAGTTCTTTCCAACGAGGCCCTAATCAAGTCAAACCGTTAACAAATGAAAAAGATATGCCGATTTTACTGTTTCGCCGATGGCCCTTCTCCCGAAGGCCCCTTATCTGGTATCGCCGAAGGCCCCTGCACGATGTTCACCGGCTCGGAGTTCGCCGACCCCGATTTCGCCGACCTCGGATTGCCGAAGGTCTGCTCGCAGTTGTCGCGAAGTCGTCTGAAGCCGGAGACGTCCGGAGCCGGAGACATCCGGAGCTGAAGGCGTCCGAAGCCGGAGACGTGCGGAGCCGAACTCGCCTCAACCCTTCCCATCAGTTAATTCCGACACTCACAACTCAGTGATGCCTCATCTGTTTGAAGAGTTATTGGTCTCGTTGGAACGAGCATCGCGAGTTCTTTTCAACGAGACACTTATTGAGTCAAGGCGTCACACATTGAAAACGTTATGAGGGTTTCACTATTTCGCCGAAGGCCCTTCCCCGAAGGAACTTCACCAAAGGCACTTCGCCAGACACCCTGCCCTGAAGGCCCCCTTCCGCACCTTTGTCCACTAACTATTACACCAACTCCTAATCTTGCCAAAACTTCCAGAAAACTCCAAGCATAAATTTGCAAGAGCTTACATCCAAAATTTTAACTCTCATAAGGGTAAAAAGACATGTGAGCATAGTTTTGTGCTCACATTCTCGATTGCTGCGGTTAACAATATGGTAGCACGGATGTAGCCTCCAAAAGCTTCGCAACAAAAGAGATACATTGCAAAGACTAATCACGATTACCTATCTAACATTCTTCAGATCTAGTGATATTTTATACAACTAAAGATAAAACAAGTGATATTATTGTAATTTTATTATTAGTAATTATTTTCATACAATTACCTAGAATAATGAGATTGGAAAATTAAATTTGTACTTTTTTTTATCTATCCAAAAATCTTTATAACATCAAACTTAAAATAATAATATCTACGTATGTATGTATCTTGTTTTGATTCATTTTACAATTCATGTAATATGCAATAATAATTTTTTTTAATTTGATATTCAGATGAATATCTAACTACAAAGATATTCGATTCAAAATCAGAGAAAATGAACTTAATCCAATTTTGTAATCAGTTCAATCTGCATTATTTTCGACTTTAGAGCAGACAGAGTTATAAGTACATCTTGTTCTGAGAGGGGAACTTTGTAACTAATGATCTTGAGTAATAAGTAACGCGACTATGGTTGAGAGGAACTTATGCGCTAACTTGTGTTTCAGTCACAAAATAATTTAATTCAATTTTAATTCTCATTTTTATGTTATGATGATGAAGAAAATCATTTAATTTTTGGTACATTTTTGAAATCAAAGAAATTATTCTGTTAACCTTGTGGTAGTGTTGAGAATGTAAGATTTTGAGGTTTTATGTGACAACCATGTGTGCTGTGCTGAGATTGTATTTGCAGAACAATCTAAAACACGCTGATATTCTGATTATTCAACAAACATTTATCACAGTGACAAACAATTTTTATGATATTATATATAATCTTAATGTTAACTCGATAGACCTCGAAAACCTATCAATTTGCTCCAAATGAAATATTTTGCAATGAGTAACCTTAAGGTTAACTCAATAGTCATAAAAAAATTTTAAGCCTGCTCAAAATGAAGAATTTTGAAACTCATAATAATATTTGGTTACAGAGCAAATCAATTCCATATATGTTAAAAGGATACATTTTTTACCTACTTTAGTTCTGAATAGCTAGTTTAGTTTCTCATATCATGACCAACGCTCTAAAATGATTTTACGGTAATAACATTATAAATAATTATATCTCTTCAACTTGATATTAAATAATATGGACATTCATTATATGATAAATGAATGCTCAGAACATTTCTGTGCCTGGATGTGCAAATTTTCACACTCCTGAAATTGACATCATCACATCGTGGCCTTCAATCTAGGATCAGAAAATGGAACGACATGGAAACCACCATAGAATGCGTTGGATCCTGAAGTATAAAAACCCCTCATACGACCCATTAACCGAAAGTTGACAAGCTCAATCTTGGCCTCCTCATCAATCTTGGGCTCTGATTGTAAGTCAATTGCTTCCTTGATTGTCTGATCGATGTTAATTTGCCATCTTACGCAGCTAAACGCAACTATACATTCTCTGCTCCTTCATCGACATTATCACATTCTCTTGAGACGCAACATTCTGTTTGTTGACTGCTTCTTATCACCATCTTCCTTTCGACACAATGCAGGAAGGTGGCTCTGATTCTACCGAATCCGGAGGTCAAACTGCTTTTGAGAAAGTTCGATATTCTATCGACACGGGCCGAAATATCTGAAATACAACGTTAAAAATGGCTTCAGATGGACCAAGATTGCAGCGTACGACGTTCACTTCCGTCCTCTTCTTCGTTTTCGTCGCAGTTGCTGCAGAGGCGCAACTGTCTGCGAGTTTCTATGACTCCACTTGTCCCCAAGCCGCCTCTATAGTGCAAGAAAAGGTTGATGCCTTTGTTGAGAGTGACCGGGGATTGGCAGCAGCTCTGATGCGTCTCCACTTCCATGACTGCTTAGTCCGAGTAAGAATGTCAAAGTACCACGAAATGTACTTTTGATCGATTTCCAGCCGAGTCTTCGAGGACCTATATGACCTTTCAGTTAGAAACATCTCACATGGTGTATACAGAAGATGCATTCCTCTGTATACAGACATAGCTATCTGATTCCTGAATGAAGATGGTTTGCTTCAGTTTTAGCTTCTCAACCGGAACTCTTAATCCAGCTTGGTCGAACTCGTCAGACGATTTTGAGTCATCTGATTGAAAGTCACTTCGCTGCGTCCAGGGCTGCGATGGATCCGTTCTTCTCAACTCAACCGATCCTAATATTCTCACAGAAAAGTCCGCGCTGTTAAACAGCAATTCTCTCCGAGGATTTGAACAAATTGATGAGATCAAAATAGAGCTGGAACCTGCATGCCCAGGTGTTGTTTCCTGTGCAGATATTTTAGCTCTGGTGGCCCGGGATGCCACTGTCAAGGTACGAAGAAAATCTATTTTGTATTCGTCACGTTACATCATTGATATGAACAGAATCATCTGAGTCATTACATTTCAGATGATTTGTGTGTCGAGTGCAGCAATGCCTCAAGGTACCGGTCCTGGAGCTGTCAAATTGTACATCTCTAATAAAAAAAATGGAAACGAAACAACGTAGATGATTAAAAGTTATCACCTGAAGGGAAACACCATTGCCTGGATTACTTACAATCACTGCCATCCCTGTTGACGAATATACAGGTTGGTGGCTTGAGCTGGCAAGTATTTCTGGGCCGCATTGATGGTGCAGGCTCATTTGCAGATGAAGTCACTGGCAGCTTGCCTGAACGGAGGGACAACTTTACAAAACTCGTCGAAACTTTCGCCAAAGTTGGACTTGATGCTATGGACATGATCATTCTTTCAGGTCTATTTCTCATATGTTTTTCAGATCATTGCGTGTATCTGTACGAGTTGGGAGCATCCTGTACATTGTTGAAATGGATTGACTCATGCATCAAGAGACATCGCCTGCTGAGTGTATACAGAATTGCTGATTTGGCAAATCTTGAATGCTCATGCAGGTGGACATTCCATCGGGCAAGTTCACTGTGGCGCCTTCTTCGAGCGTCTGTACAACTTCCAAGGTCTTAATATCACAGACCCATCAATGGACCCTGAGTTTGCTGCCATGCTTAAGGCTCAGTGCCCTCCGACCAAACCTTTGGAATTCATGGCTCTGGATGCCACCAACGGCACCTTCGACTCTACTTATTATTTGGACCTTCTGACCAACAAAGGTCTTCTTGAGTCGGATGTGGCACTTTTGAGCGATCCCTTGGGAGTAGAGTATGCAAACAAAGCTGTGCAGGATCCAGACACCTTTCTGTTAGAGTTCGGAATGGCAATGATCAAAATGGGCAACATTCCAGCGAGCGATCCTTACGGCTGGAGAAAGCATTGCGCCTTCACCGAACCAAAGTTGTAGGCCCGGTTGAATGCTTACGGAATAGATGACTATCTGCCATAAGCATGCTGGGACGTGCTCTCTGCTTCTGGAAGCAGATCTTGGGAATAAGTTTCTGTTGCGTTCATAATTTACATCAGGCCTCATCATTTATGAGATCGAGGTGGAATTCGATCACCATAAAGGTATGCGGTCCAAAAGTAGTTGGAAATGCCAGGAAGGCAATTATAGGTCTAGATTACATGAGGAGCAGACTAGTTTCTTGTGTACAGTATTTCTTCTAGGAGAAAATGCAAACGATTTTTTTTATCAATAAATTGCAGACAATTTTGACAAGAATGTAGGCTGTCAATGAAGCCATGAAATTTTATTACCAAAACTGCTGAATGCGAGATGGAGATATATCTCATACAGCTATTGCCCTTTTGAGTAAGAGAAAAACCTGGTCAATTGACGATGGGAAGCAAGTCCACAGACACTCTCACTGGAAACCGTCGAGTCAAAGTGGCAGGGAATGTCATGGACGTGCGATGTAAGTGGACGAACATGAATTACAGCTGTTTCAAGCTAGGAACTATTGTTACTAGGTGTTGGGCATTGATGCCGAGAAATGAGAGAGAACTAACAATCATATATACTATGTACATATGTCACCAACTCGTCTTTCGGGATTAAATTTTAAACAGTTGTGTTTGTAACGCAACAGAGTACAGGGAATACATCTGAAGTCATTGCAATTTGTTGGAGAGATTCATTTTCTAAAACTAAAGAAATTGTTTTCAATTTCATTCAGAACCAAGGCCATTTTTTTCTTTTGTATCAGCTTTCAGATGAACACAAGTATCCAGCAGGGGAAGAATCTTGACCCAAAATCATGTATTGGATACATAAATTCAACGTTACAGCAGTTCAGCATCATTGCAGTAGAAACTCGCATTGACAATATTTGTTTTAAGTTTAGTTGCAGGTTCTAAGCAGATGGAACTTAACTCTGAATACAGGATTCTAAAAGTACATTAATTACTCCAAAAAGGGTTGCATTTCTCATCTTTTTAATCTGCAAAGTTTTTTCCTTTAGTTTTCGTCTGGACTCCGAAGTCCTTGCTTGCTCAACAATTTACAAGTAGAAAAATTAAAAAGGTCTCACAACCTCATAATACTTTCATATCATAAGAAGTCTGAGAAACCGCTGACGAGAAAAACCTGTCACTGGAAAGAGTCATTTTTTCCAAAAGTGAGCTTGTGATTTGGCTATCTAACTGGTGACAGCAAATCATCTCGTAATGTGTTTGTGGATAAATTCACTCTGTTACTATCTTCATACTACCATCCAGCCAATGGTTTTTTTCTGGAATTCAAGCACACACAGTTCACAGAATCTCCGAGTTGAACCTTTAAACACTGCCCTAGCAACAGGTCAACTGCAGAATTCAGCAGAATTTTGAAGGAAATTAAAATGAGAGCAGAATCTGATCTAGTTATATATCTTCTCAATTCTCTGGATTCTCAAAATGGGTTTGGAAAGTGTCTGAAAATTGGCAACTAAGTCATGAACGAAAAAAACCGTCAAAATATTACATCTATGTATTATAATTATAACACAAGACTGTAAACGTTAGTTTTACAAGCGCTTCTCATTATAACCGATAATATGTGGAAAAGGACTAAATTGAACATATGTCCAACATGTAGATTTTATACGTAACGTCTTAGTGGCCTAGTAAAGGGATTGTCAAAAATCTTTGTGTGTATACTTCACATGGCTACTTTCATATTGACATTTTTCGCTCATCCGTATCTAAGAAACGTTTGTAGTTTTTGCTATTTGATCTAAAAAACCAAAAACCCGTCACTTCTTTTAGAAATTGAACCCGCCACTCTGGATTGAATGAAAGAAAGTGTATATTACAATTAGACAGCTACTGAGTTTCACAAGCACAGATTTCCTCTGCCTACACGCCAAGCTCAAACGGGTCAGAATTCAAATTTGAGCCGCATAGCTGAAAGAAATAACGGGCTCTTGGAAAGTTTTTCCGCTGATTGCGATCGATATTCGATGAATCACTATTGATGAATCAATTCGATGGTTTCGAACGTTTTCCATCTGGTGTTATATATATATATATATATATATATATGGGTAAGAACGGATCATTCCATTTGCACGTAAGATTTCCCTCATCCCCGTTCCACATTTCAATCGTTTTCATAAGAAACAGGGAACGAACAAGAGAAAGAGCGGATCCAAAGCGGAAATCCAAGCCACTGCCTTGTGATTGTGCTGCACGCGAAGTCAAGCTCAAGAGAAGAAGCAGAACTTTTTCGTTTTTCCCGACAGGTCAGTAGCTCATTTATTTAATCGACTGCCTCGACGTTTATTGCAGTGTACTGTCCAACAAAGTATCTTGAATTTTCTCTGATGCTCGTCTTCTGAGGGCGATTTCGACCTCGATCATTCCTCCCGAGATCGGACATCTCTCTCCATGGTTCCCTTGTGATTCTATCAAGATTTTAGAGGTCTTGTGATTTCCTGTAGCCGTCGATGCGTCTTCGCGTTTCGTTCTTGACATGTGAAAGCGATCAAATTCGGACCGATTTGGGTCTTACCCGGTGGAGGAGATCGGACGATATTCTCAGTTACTGATTTACTTTCGCTGATCAAATAATTTTGATCTTTTGATTTTGAAGCCTACTTCTTGTAGCTTTTCACCCGCTTCGAGCCGGCGTCACGTGATCAATCAAACGCGTTGCGATCTTCAAATGTTCGGAGCCATCGATTATATATCAATGCCTAGACCTTCAAGCGAGGCATGTAGACCCTCCACCATTAGCTACTATACATCTCATCAGCTTTATTGCAATATTACCAACCCGATTCAAACTATATAGAAAAAGTGCCCACGGCTGTTAGTTACACAAGCTCGTAATCTGCAATCGCAAGCTGGCTATCTTACAAAATTATAGGTAAATCCATCGGTTGCAGTCAAATTTACGTCATCATATGAATTGGTGTGCGAAAAATTTCTCATCACGCGATCCGTAGATCTAAGAAGTCCGGTGATAGAGACCATACTCAGATTGGGCATGTTGGCTGCAGTTGGACACACTAACTGGAATGCTGCCGGTAAGATTGGTGTTGAACAGTTGTAGCCATTTCAAGGTCTGCAGCTTCTCCATATCAGGTGGAATCTCACCAAAAACTAGATCTTGGTGATGGTTCATATCCCAGCAGTTTAGCAAGTTCTGAGAGATGTAGCATGTTAGATTGTTATCTCCCAATTTGAATTGTGCAGGTTCGCCAAGCTGACGGGAAGCTTTCCCGTGAGCTTATTGTCACTCAAATACAAACAATACAATTTTTGCCTGTCTTCAAACTTTTCAGCAATGCCTTCATCAAACCTAGGGCTCTTAGATCTTTCCCATCATAGCATTGAAGCCGAGTTCCAGAATCAGCATTGTCGGCCACGATCTCACCATCTCATCGTTCAGGCTTACCGTAAATGACTTGTGTACCAAATCTCATTTTCCCAGAAACAACTTGCACAAGTGTTTCTCAACGCATTCCAAGGAACACTGAACGTCTATAGTGTGAAGTTTGACTTATGCTTGACGGTTAAAATTCTTTTGAGATTATCACTAACATGATGTATATGATGTATGCATGTGCTATATACTGCTTCAGCACTGTTATTACACATAGGACATCTGCGTCGCTAGAACCAGGGCCTGTTCTTTGAATCAAGAGCCAGACCTGACCCATGGGGAGCTACGAGCCCGGCCGGTCAGTCGGTGGAGTGTCATTCAAAGGAAGACAATTCTCCTGTCTACCCACTGCACTACTTATTTGGTCTTTCCGGTCCTGTGCGTGTTGCGAGAGGGTAAACGTTAAGCAGTGTTTCAATAATGATACGACAGTCACGACGCTTTTCTCGGCAAAGATTTTCAAAACTTACAAGCCACGATACCTCAAATCGAAGTTAAACTCAAAGTCAAGGAAAGAGTACAGCAGTCTTCAAAGCTTTTTGCTGTTACGGAATGCGACCTTCTCTAACAATGGATCTAATCAGAGGTATTGGGGATCTCGACCAAAATGTCTCTACGACTGCATACTATATTCCTGCTGGTCTCATAAAACTTCGAGTCTTCATTACGTTGCATTTCATGCTTAAATCCTAGACTGGTCCAAAGTCTCGCGTGTGCATGTTACTATAATCAATGAACACATCCAAATGGTAAAAGGCTCATTAACTCTTTGTTGAAATATCATTCACTTGCTTGAGAAACAACAAATGCTGGGCTTTGGGAGCATCATGTATTAATGCCATAATTGAATCCATCCCATCAGTCCAACCTTCTGTCCCACCTTAACCTTGATGCCAGGATGGCACCGGGTCATTCCATTCCACTTCTAGCATAGTCCGTGCAGCCGTTTCCATAGGAGAGAACTGGCCGTCAGAAGCCTCTAGTTCTCTCTTGCATCAGTCAACATCTGCGGAGTTCGAGAGAAATTTCATCACATCTAGCACTAACGGCCAACATCTTTCCTTTGAACGTCTTCGTGCAGCAGAGTTCAAAGAAACTGACCTATATAGAACCAATCTAACTCGTGAGATTCTACCGGATTTGGGTAGAATACAGACCTAAATGATGAGTTACCATATGGTCATTCTAGCTAATTTAATCTACTTTTGTTTTTCCGATAAAGAAATAGATAATCCTTAATTAAATGACTAGACCCTAAGGCTAGGCATGTACACCCACCCCATTAACTGTTACACATCTAGTCAGGTTTAACCGATTCAAACTATCTACGAAAACTGCCCTCTTAGTTGCACAAGCTCGTAATCTGCACGCGCTGCCAGCCAAATTGACGTGATCAAATGAATTCGTGTGCGATACGTACATCTAAGAAGACCGATTTCATCTTGAGATGCAAATCAATCTGAAGCTCCTACTACGAACAACTTCATGAACACACCATGAAAATACAAACTCTGCCCGTTCAGGATCAAGATCACCGTGCAATGTGCCAAACTCAGCACGTAGTTCTCCAGTAAGTCTATTGCCAGAAGCAGCTAATGACTTCAGTGCTTCGACCACGATTGTGTATTCCAAAGTAATTTCTCCTTTCCTGAGTGGTATCCTGTGCAACAAGCCCCTTCTTAGAAACTGGTTTGCTGCCGGGATTTCCGTTCTCTTCAAGGGGAGCTTGTAGGTCACCAATCCTGAGAGGTTCTGAGTCAATACACCGGTGAATTGGTTGGAAGAGAGGTAAAACACTTGCAGTGCGGCAGCTGAAGATATATTAGCCTGTATGATGGCGCCTGATTTAACTCTGTATTCAGGACATGGAACTTTGGCAACACCCCGAGAAGTGGTTCCAACTCAATCTAACAACTCCTGATTATGGCAGTCCCATAATGTGACGATAAATAGTTCACTGAATTGGTCCCGTTGATAGACACCATTTTCAGGGATTCCAATCCTGCAAAATTTGTGTGCATCAGCTGTACTCCTACAGAATTCTTACTGTCAGTCTGATAATCTGCAGGGCACTGCAATTGGATGGGGTAAGTGGAATGCTGTATGTAAGATTGTTGTTTTCATGTATAAAGTATTTCAAGGTCTATAGCTTCCCCAAATCCGGTGGAGTCTCACCAGTCCGATTTACCCTATACAGTCACAAGACCTGGATCTTGATGAGGAGTGTTGAGCCTGTTATATTGTAATCTCCCAAGATGATTTCTGGGACATCCTGCAAGTTCATCAATCCAACGGAAATCTTTCCGTGAGCTCATTGTCATTCAAATAGAACCATTACAACTTTTGCAGGTCTTCAAACTTTTCAGTAATGCCTCCATCAACCTTGTTTCTAGATAAACGCAATAAGCAGAGTTGGGTCATAAAACCTAGGGCTATGCGATCTTTCCGATCATAGCATTGAATCCGAGGTCCAAATCTGGATTGTCGGCCACAATCTCACCATCTCATCCGTGAGACTTCCAGTGAATGAATTCTGGACCAGATCCCATCTTCCCAGAAACAGAGATTGCAGGAGGCTTGAGTTCCTCAACGGATTCAACGCATCCAAACGAACACTGAACTTGTTGTCGGAAATTTTCAGATAGATAGGTGAGCAAGCTCATGTTTGTTAAAGATTGAGGGACCTCTCCTTCGAACATATTGTTGCGGATGAGATGCACTTCGCACTTGACAGCCTCCCAAGGTCCGCAGGCAGATTACCACTTGAAGTTGTTGTAGCTGAGATCCAGATTGTCTTCCAGGTTCGGAATTCGTAACCTCGAGAGCTGTCATCAATCCGGAGGAATCTCGCTTTGCTGAAAGTTTTGGTCCAGATGGAGGTCTTCGAGGTACGGAAGATTGCATAGCGAAGGTCCCAACGAACCAATCAAATACAGCAAAGACAAGTGTAGAGCAGAAACATGCAGCTTAAGATTGCAAGTGACTCTAGCCCACGAACAGTTCTCTGATCGCTTGCCAGAATTCCAATCATCCAAGGCTCCCGCTGGATAGTTCCCGATCCCGTCCTTGAATGCAAGAACAGCATCAGCCTCCCTGAAAAAGAAACTTCACAGCATAACTCAATCTGAAGCAGAATTGAATATTTTGCAATACGAGGTGTCATCTGCTCATTCTGGTAACTTTGGTCACAATCTGGAAAATATCAATCGTAAAATGGAGCGAGCACCTTTCACTTACCCAAAGCCAACTTCCAACAACGAAACTGCATGTGAGAACCCATGGGACCTGGAGTCGGTTCCATGATCATGAAGAAATTCTTCTAGCATGTGATGGATCTTTGACGCATGCAATTGTAATCTTCGAATTTCTAGATGATCTAAGCCTGTTTCCTTGAACTCTGCTGCACAAAGACGGTCATAGGAAAGGCTAGCCGTTACTACTAGATGGGATGAAATTTCTATCGGACTCGGTACATGTTGACTGATACAAGAAAGAGCTGGAGGTTTCTGACGGCCGGTTCTCTCTCATGGAAGCATGAGAGAGAACCAGCGAGAAAACATGTTAGAATTACACTGGAATGACACGGTGCCATCCACCCATCAAGGTTACGGTGGGATTGGAGGTTGGACTGATGGGATTCAAGGATTATAAATAGAGGTTGTTCTGAGAGCCCAGCATTTGCTGTTTCTCAAGCAAGTGGATGGTTTGTCAACAAAGAGTCAATGAGCCTTTTACCATTTGGATGTATTCATTGACTAATATAACTTGCACCCACAAGCCTTGACTTTTTTAGCGGTATAAGATTATAAGCATGAATGGCAACGGAATGAAGACCCGAAGATTTATGAGCTCAGCAGGAATACAGACTGCCAGCGCAGAAGTGTTTTGTTGGGTATCCCCAATACCTCTGATTAGATCCATTGATTAGAGAAGAAGTCACATTTCTCAACAGCAAAAAGCTCGGAAGGTGGCTGTCCTCTTTCGTTGACTTTGACTTCAATCTGAGGTATCGTGCCTTGTAAGTTTTCAAAAGCGTCGTGATTGTCGTGTCATTATTGAAACACTGTTAAACGTTTACCCTCTCGCAACACGCACAGGACCCGAAGGACCAAATATGTAGAGCAGTGGGTAGACGGGAGAATTGTCTTACTTTGACATTCACTCCACCGACTTACCGGCCGGGCTCGTAGCTCCCCATGGGTCAGGTCTGGCTCTATATTCAAAGAACAGGCCCTGGTTCCACCGACGCAGATGTGCTACGTGTAATAACAGTGCTGCAGCAGTATACCACATGCATATAGAACATGCCACTTATCATCTCGAAATAGTGCACCCGAGGTAGTTTTTAACTACTTCTAAATTGTTCTTATAACAGTGCTGCAGCAGTTTACTACATGCATATACTGTAGAACATGTCACTTATCATCTCAATATAGTTTTACCCGATGTACTTTCCTACCTACTTCTAAATTATTTTACTGCTGGATAACTCTTCACTCTCTTTCCCTTCATCGAGATATGCCTAAAATATCGTGCTAATATTCAGGATGAAATATTATGGATAGCTCATTGGAATTCATTTAACATGAGGGAACACGCCAATTTGTTTATGCAACACACTTTGGCTCAATTCATGGCAAGTTTCCATTGTTGTTATTTCAACCGGCATCGAAAAAATATAGAAGCATAGCAAAAAATAAAAACATGTTATGAAGTTTGAAGAACATGAGAGACCAAAATTGGATATTGATATAGAAAACAAGTCATAGAGCTGCAAGAGCATGCAATTCAAACTCGAAGCTAAAGGACACCGAGGCTAAATAAATTTTATTCAGAGTCCTTTCAATAAGACAATAAGAGCCTTTCCAAAGCCCAAGACAAAACAACCTCTAACAAAACAACGATGAGTTGATTGCCTCCAAGCTCTTCGTGTTGAGCTGAAGAACCAAAGGTGTGACAGCATTCGTGGGACGCCTACAAGCAGAATTACACTCTTGGTATGTGTTTTCAACTTCATCCTTGTTTTGCCTGCATAGTTGTTTGTGATCAAGGAAAACTGGCATTGTTGGAAACTCGGATTGAAATCTGGCATGTTGTACACGTGTTGTGAACCGTGATGATCTTTGCTCAATAATACTCACTTTGTCGTGGATACATAAACCTTCCCTTCAAGCATGGACTATCATGGAACAAACAAAGAAAAACAACGTATCTCGTAAAACAGCATGGATCCTAATGTGATCTTGCTTCATGTGAATGGGAAAGAAGTAATAACGACGACTTGATTAGAAATTCAATACATAAAGTATAAGAATGTCACTTACAGACATACAATTGCTATGAATTACGAACTGGTGAGATGACTTTCAAACATAAAAAACAACTGCGTAGGTAGAACCAGGGCCTGTTCTTTGAATCAGGAGCCAGACCAGACCCATGGGGAGCTACGAGCCCGGCCGGTCGGTGTAGTGTCATTCAAAGGAAGACAATTCTCCCGTCTACCCACTGCTCTGCAAATTTGATACTTCGGGCCCTGTGCGTGTTGCGAAAGGGTAAACGTTTAACAGTGTTTCCATAATGATATAGTCAATAGTCACGACGCTTTTCTTGGCACGATTTCTTAACACATGCAAGCCACGATACCTCAGATTGAAAAGCTCTCAGAATGAACTTCCCGAGTCGGGTAGAGACTCGGGAAGTTCAAAGTCAAGGGTCAAAGTTTGAAGGAAGTTCCAAGTCAACGAAAGAATACAGCCATCTTCCAAACTTTTTGCTGTTACGAGATGCGACCTTCTTCTCGAATCAATGGATCTAACCGGAGGTATTGTGGATCCGGACCGAAACGTCTCTGTGCTGGCAGTCTATTCCTGCTGAGTTCATAAAACTTAGGGTCTTCATCACATGTCCATTCATGCTTATAGTCTTAGACCGGAAAAAAGGTCAAAACTCTCGCGGGTGCATGTTATTTTAGTCAATGAAGACATCGAAATGGTAAAAGGCTCATTAACTCTTTGCTGACATGAAATCCACTTGCTTGAGGAACAGCAAACGCTGGTCTCTGGGAGCAACATCTATAAATGCCAGACTTGAATCCCATCAGTCCAGCCTCCAATCCCACTGTAACCTTGATCCTGGCATCTTTGTTACCTTGATGCCAGGATGGCACCGTGTCATCCATTGTACTTCTAGCATATTTTCTCGTTGCCTCCTCTACAACGGTTTCCATCGGAGAGAACTGGCCGTCAGAAGCTTCTACTTCTCTCATGTATCGGTCAACATTCGTCGAGTCCCATAGAAATTTTATCCCATCTAACAGTAATGGCCATCGTCTTTCCTATGACCGTTTTCGTGCAGCAGAGTTCAAGTATACGGGCCTAGATCATCTAGAAAATCGAGGATTACAGTTGCATGCATAAAATATCCATCACAATCAAGAGGGATTATATCCCTCTCGACTGTGATGGATCTTTGACGCATCATGATCTTGAAACCGACTCCAGGTCCCATGGGTTCTCACACGCAGTTTCGTTGCTGGAAGTTAGCTTTGAGTAAGTGAAAGAAGCTCGCTCCATTCTCCGATATTGATATATTCTAGATTGTGACCAAACTTACCAGAATTAGAGTATGAAACCTTGTATTAGATAATATCAATTCTGCTTCAGATTTAGTTATGCGTCCTTGAATGCAAGAAGGGATCAGCTTCCCTAAACAAGGAACTTCCTTGTTAAGGGAAGTTGATGCCCTTCTTGCGTTCAAGGAGGGGATCGGGAACTATTCGGGGTGCCTTGGATGATTGGACTCATGCTAAGCGATCAGAGTACTGTTCGTGGACCACCTGAAATCGTCCGCTGCATGTTAGTGCTCTCCACTTTTCTTAGCTTTATTTGATTGGCTCGTTGGGCCCTTCGCTGTGCAATCTTCCGTACCTGGAAGAGCTCGATCTGGACCAAAACTCGATTGCTGTCGAGATAACGAGTCCTGAACCTGGAAGATAATCTGCTCTACGGAAGCATTCCTGAAGAACTGGGAAATCTGACAAGGCTGCAGGTACTGAACCTTGGCTCTAAGGGAGGTGGTTCAATGCAACGGTTCCAGAAGAGCTCGGACAGCTCTCGGAATTGCGGTTTCCAAATCTCGGAGCTGTGATTTAGAGGAAGTCTATGAAATGAATGCTACAAATAAACCCAGAATACTGAAATAATTCGCAGTCGCAACACGCATAGGTCCTGAAGTACCGAATTTGTAGAGCAGCGGGTAGACGGGAGAATTCTCTTCCTTTGAATGACACTCCACCGACTGACCGGCCGGGCTCGTAGCTCCCCGTCGGTCTGGTCTGGCTCTTGATTCAAAGAACAGGGCCTGGTTCTACTAACGCAGTGATGCAGCCGAATAGCACACGCATATGCAGCACCGAACACAGCAATTCAAACCCAAGCAATTCCTAAGGACACAAATAAGTTCAAATCACAATCCTTCCAATAAGAAAATGCGAGCACTTCCAAAGCCCAAGACAAAACACGCTTTAATAAAACAAGGATACGTTGATTGCTGCCAACGTCCTTGTGCCATCATCTGGTTGAGCTGAAGAACCAAAGGTGTGACAGCATTCGTTGGAGTCCTACAAGTCGTATTACACTCTTGGCATATGTTTTCATCTTCACCCATGTTTTTCATGCATAGTTGTGATCAAGGAAAGATCCCATTGAAAACTTTCATGTTGTGAACTTGCTGTGAACCGTGCTGATTTTTGCTCAATAACGCCTAGGTCGTTGTGAAAACATAAATCTTCACTTCAGACATGAAGTATTATGGACCAAACAATAAAAATCAATAAAAATCCACGTCTCCTGTGAAATGGCATGAATCCTGATGTGCTCTTGCGTCACGTGATTGGGAAAGAAGTAATCACGACCACATGATTGGAAATCTCAAACATAAAAGATAGAACAATGTCACATACAGACATACAATTGCTATCAATTATGAGCTGGTCAGATGACTTTCAAACATAAAATACGAGAAATTCAAGTTTTTCAATCGATGAACTTAGAAGTCGTTCATGTACTTTCATCCGCTCTGTTATTGTCTAACTTCAATTGCGTGATTCGGGAGAAGGTGTGTGAGATGACTAGGATTGGCAGTGGTCTTTGAATTTTGGATCCCGAGATTCTTCCAGGCATGTACAGGAAAGAAGTCGATCTGATATATCATGGTAACAATGGAGGAGGTCTTCCAGGACTGTCGATTGATGAGCACGGCCAAAAATCCATCTGTCGATTTTCCCCACAAGTTTCTAGGCAGTTTTCTGTCGGTTGTGATGGCTTCAGTCATTAAATTAGTTTTCGACGGTAGGTTGTGATCTGAAACCACAACCTACCGTCATCGCGGTCTATGGGAGCATAAATTGGATGTTAAGCTCCAATGCGAAGTAACGATGAACTCATCACATCGATACAATACAGATGAAGCTTGCAGTAGTTTAGTGTTAGTGGCGAAGATCACTTTCATCTCCTTCGTTCAAGTTATCATAGGACTTTGAGTAGGTTCCAAAAATGAGGTACTGAGAAGAATGGAGATTATAGTAGATAATAAATTTCCAACTCGTAA